GAGCGGGGAGAATATGTATAATACTTTGCTTTCTGCGCATGGGCTAATTAGGTGAAAACGTGGCTAGTGTGAATAAACTGGGAAAATGTGGGAAATTATAATTTTCCTGAACATGGGGAAACGAGGGAAAGTGGCCAATATGGACAAAGTGAGTAAATTATGTATCATTTGACCTCCCTTTTTGCCCAAGCTTCTTGTGATCAAAATGACTCGTTTTGCCCACACTGCCTAGCTGCATTTCGTAACCTGGACTTACATTGATGTTCTATTCATATTTGCGGTTCGTACCATTCCGCGCTTTCTCAAGGCGTCTTCGTCTCTCTGAAATAGTTTCTAATCACGTGGGGGCATAACACTTACCCTAATGTTCGCGGTTCCCTGGTTGACCATAACTATCAGAAGGAAACGGAAAGACGTTTGGGTTGGCACTCAACCCTGATGGGGACCTCAGTGAAGGATTTACAATTTACCATCGATACAAACCTGTTCTGATTGCTTGGACAATAATCGAACAATTGAAGCTTTTGAAAAAGTGCTAATTTATGATACTTCGCGATTGTAATTTATAATATAACTGATCGTGCCTGTAATAATGGCACGCATTTCTTGTAAACTTACCCGTTTATACAAAATATAAACTATTATTACCTGTCTGTTCCTAGATACCGAAGGTATGTGATTGACTACACCACTGCTTGCTCTCATTAGAACGACAACCCAAGTACAAGCGTTCTATTACGAAGCTAATATCGGATTTGAAATGACGTGCGTTTGTGTCACCAGATTAGACAATACGAAGTTGCTCTAGACTATGCCCGAAAGCTAAGTAAAAGTAAATTTAGGTTTCTGAATAAGCTGTAGCAGTTTTCAACTGTGCATATTTAAAATAGTTATTAGCTACATGGAAGGACGATTATCCGAACTTCCAAGGTATGACCTACATTTATTGACCATCTCTGGCGAATTGATAAGCAGACTCCCGCAAGAAATAATTGCGGTTGTTTTCTAGTAACAAACCGTTGGTTTCTTGGAAGATTTTACGAAAAATAACAGCATTCCAACAGCATGAATACAAGTACTTGATTACTTGAAACTACTTCTGTTAATTTAACTGCTGAAACAACCACTACTTAAAATGATGAGAATTATATTAGTAAAATGCGTACATATTACTGAGTAAAGGATAACCTGAAAAATCTTATCTGGTTTCACTTTTGTTTTAGTTAATTACGGATAGAAACGTTACTATGGCAGATTTTGGACACTTACAAGTTTTGTAACGTATGATCGTTGATTTTTTCCAAAAACTCGAGGAAATATGATATACTCCTATTTTGACTGCCTGTAGTAGCGATAATTGTGCTTTTGCTCGTTTTCGTGTATTCCCAGTACAACTGCTATTTCGGCCTGTAATTACATAATAAATCAATTCTCTAGAAATTGCTTGAGAAATCTTAATTCTTCATCGGAAGAATTTTGTGAGCTAGTTGGTCGGAAAATCAGAGTTGGTGTGTAGGATATGTTTGCCTTGCCTGAGAAACTCTGAATCTAAAATCATTAGAACAGATCCATATATATGCATATAAGTAAGCTTTTTTATGATGTCTTGGTCAATCCTTGGAGTAAAAGTATGACTCAACAAATCAATGCTAAAACCACCATTTTATGTAGGATAATCTTAAGTGTGAACGGCTCACCACCGTATACAGTGCATACGGGCTTTCAATTCCGTCTTCAAGAAGGAGCTGCAAGTCTTAATTCGGTGTGGATAGCTTTGATCTTTAGCTCCTATGGGTAAAGAAAATGGAAAATTGGCTTTTTCCCATGTAGTGTGACGAGGGACATTCACAGTTTGGTCTATCTAATAATAAGTGATGAATTTACTATTGGCCTATCAAATTCCTGGAAAGCATGCAACCTTTTGGATCAGACGAAGGTGTACTTTCGTATCTTCTTCATACTTTTGCAGATTCTGGGACATAGGTGTTTTTACTGGCATCTAACTCCTTCCATATTTTCCGACTTGACCGGCGAATTTGTCTCTGTAGGCTTAGGGCTCCTATCGCAATCTTGGATCCTGAATTAAGTACCGATGATTTAAACCACTGTAAACAATGGATTCATCTCTAAATCATGCTGCTGTATAAGTTTTATTTGAATTGATGACTACCAGTAGTGTCCGTCAGGGATGACTACTGTCTCCATTTTATTTAATTTTGTCATGGACGGAATTATGAATGTGACCCTAATCCGCTTTGGAAATGTTTTACCAGGAGGCACTATCGTCAATTTAGAATGGGCGGATGACACCACCCATCTCGGTGAAGAGGCTGACAGTACACAAAGCCTTCTAGAAACATTGATCAGAAATTCTGTCATTTCTGGCATGCGATGTGACCCTGTCAAATGCATGGTGATGCTGCAGGATTGATGTATACTGACTACAGTTTGAAGGCACGGAGTTGACTGGCTTAGTGTGCTGACCACCTCACTTATGTGGGAAGTTTTATTAGCTTTAGTGAACTGATTGTTTAAGAAATCTCAACATGGATTCAAAAGGCTCGTGTGCCATTTTTCAACCTATATCACCTCTGGCATAGATACAGTGTCCGGTAATTGAGGAAAGAACGTTATTACCGCACACTATTTCGCTGTTTCCCTCTTTATAACTGCAAGACGCGGCCAATGACAGTGGAAGACATGAAGGAGCTCTCTGTCTTTGGTCACAGTTGTTTGTGTTCTTGCTCTCCCGTCAGGTTGTATAATGTGATGAGTAATATTTTGGTTATGCGTAGAGTATTAAGTAAGGAGGGTATATCAATTGATGAGGTTGTAAAGACACTCCTTTTGAGCTGGCTAGAAGACATGGTGATCATGCCAAGGCACTGCTTTCAGCGTCGAGCAATGGTAGGTGACATAGTGAGAGGTTCGAAAAGGGTTAGAAGCGGTCAAATCAAACACACCGCAGATTCATGAGTGTTTAGAATGTTGGTTTGAGCCATATAGGAGGTTGGCATCCACAAGATCCTACGAACCAATGGCTTGGGACTATTGGTGATATGGGTCGAAATCATTCCCAGTGACTCATGCGCTTCCACTCCGTATGAATTCCCATTATTATTTGTACTTATTCTTTATCCTCCCTTTGCTTCTCGTTTATTGTCCCTCCATATTTGTGTGTGGAAACTTGAGCTGCTGCATTTCTGAGCTGAAAACAGTCAGTCATCCGTAAGTGCTTCTCTGTTTTTAGCATGTGACGCCTTGAAAGGCAAATGATGCTAAATTATTCAAGGTGCGTTAACCAATTCATTATTCCATATGCAATAATTTACACTGATAGTAGTTTATTTGTGGTCGAGGCATACGAAAATTCACTGTGGTAATAATCCTTCAGTGGTGCAGCTTAGAGTAGATTTATGCTCATATTTGAAACTTCTGACCCAATATCGGTAAGCCACATCAATTATTCATTCCGAGGAAACTGCGTTCAGAAGCACCAGGGAACCCTTTAACATTTGAGTAATATTGATGGTGCATTCGGTCTAGCATTATGTTTTAGCAGCTGATCACAGCAGAACTGTAGATTTCCACCTCAGCCTGTGGCATCCATCTAATTGGTTTGTGAATGAGTCCTTTAAAATCCAATCATCGTAGTTTCACTTACCTTTCACCTACTAGAGAGAAGCTATTGCGCTTCAGAAGTGTTTATAAGAGTGTCTATATTTGATCTGCATTGTACTGTGTATTTCAGCTGACGAAATTCTTCTCAGTCCTTCTTTGCTTTTCTTTTCCCCTTGGGACTTATTTGAAACTAAGAAAAATATTAACTACCCTAAACTCTGCCTTCCGCATTCAATCCATTTTAAATTTAATTACTGACACCCTGTTTCCAGTTGATATTTTTAGGAAACTAGCCCTGCTTTGTTGTCTGTAACGTGTACATTTATCTCACGACTAGTGTATTGATTGGAGGCTGTTAATAACACACTTTTCTAGAGAAGTTTGTAGCATGTGCGCCCATACTATACAAAATGCTAACTATTTCGTGTGTGACTGAACATTTGCTGCACACGAATGATACACTGACTGTCACTACGCTCTCATACGAACGACTTTTATGAAGAAGTCATCTGCTTTTTCTTTATTTCAATAACAGCAGTATTACTTTAAACGATTCTTAGGCAAGCTATCCAACTGAACTTCAGTGAAATTGTAAAATTCACCCATAGTGCGTTTTAAAACTCAGAATGAACACGAGAAAGGAAATCTTCACAATTCAAATACTTTTATGAACTGACATTGGTATTAACTAAATGAAAAATCTGCTTGGAAAATACCCAGACTAAGATGATATTCGTACGCACATAGTTTATTTTATTACCATGATCAAAGTCCTCATTTTTATTTAATGAATGAAAATCCTGTCCTTCTTTTCCTTAGGTTTGGAGAAATCCCTGCCAAAATTAAGAATCTGAATTCAATGCCTTTATTTTTTCGTCAGTTCCGATGGTGCAAAGATAGCTTTAGAACTTTATTTGAAGTATATTCGAGATCATTGCATTCAAGTCCGAAATGTAACACTGACAAGACCAAATCCAGACAACTTTTTGCAGAGGTAATCGGGAAGTCTCCAAGAACTCTTTTAAATGCACAAGAGGCCTTTACCTTTCTAAAAGATGGTTTGTCTCTGATATTTTTCAGATTTACATCAAAACAGGAGCTAATGTGTTTTTACAAGGTGGTGCAGCCACACCATCGGTCCTTCTTTCGGAACTCTACAATTATGTCTTATCTAAAAATCTGAAAAACATATCCGTTTACCACATCAACATAGATGGACCGTTTCCAATTACCAAACCGGAAGCAGCTGGACACTTTCGCAGTGCAGCACTTTTTATAAGTATTCAAAATAGGCTAACCGTCATTCCTTAATAGGTGATGATGTTAGAGAGGCAGTGAGGGCTGGGAGATCTGATTACATTCCAATATTTTTGAGCGACATGCCGCGACTGTTTCGTAGCAGACGTGTAAAATTAGATCTCGCCCTGATGAGTGTTACTCCTCCAGATGCCTTTGGATTTTGCTCACTTGGTCCAAGTGTGGATATTACTCGTGTTGCCGCTGAATGTGCTCAGTATCTCGTGGGTAAGCTCCTACCAGTCAGTAGAGCTTTTTCAGCTCAGATAAATCCTAGATTACCAGTTACCTATGGGGAGGCCCATATACATATCAGTCATTTTGATTCAGTTATTCATGTGGATGTCCCTTGCCACTGCTTGAAGACGCGGCCAATTTCGAAAGCTGAGGAGAAGATCGGTGCACTAATTGCTGAGAATTTAGTTGACAATGGCTCAACCCTACAAACAGGTTAGTTAGACACATAAAAGACGTGAATAATTTGATGATCTGTAGGTACAATTGAATGCAAAGTTCAAAAATGTCTCGTCTTTCATTCATCTTTCATCTTAACCATTTTTACATGGCTAATTAACAAGACTTTAAATGTTAATGTTAGTGCGAACGTTCAGGAGTTGAACAATTGATAAAAGTTCACTATATTAGAAATTAGTTTGTCATGTATTAGGATTTCATTTAAGTTTTATGCACACAACTATTCTGAACAGAATTCATAAACGTCAGATAGCGAACCCTTATAAGTTTATATCGGTAACTGAAGGGCCACCGCTCTCTATATAAGAAAGCTTATCTCCTGGTATATATATATATATATATGAATCTGTTTATCTTTAATTTGTGTCAAAACCCATAAAGTATTTTTCAGACGATTGTTTTTTCTTGTCTCTGAAAGCAGTTATATATATATATATTCCTATTTTATACACCAGGTATCGGAGCGATTCCAGACTCAGTGTTATCTAAACTTACAAATCACAAAGATTTAGGAGTTCATACCGAAATGTTTTCAGATGGAGTTGTAAAATTAGTTGAATGTGGTGCTGTAACGAATACCAAGAAAAAAATTCGCCCAGGAAAAATAATAACAAGCTTTGTTATAGGAACAGAGAAACTTTTCAAATTTATAAATGCAAATCCATCAATTGGTAAGTTTACCTGTCTCTGTATAAGTTACTTCTACGACTGGTAACAATCAAACATTGGTATGATCTGATTTGAAAAACTAAAAATACTACACAAATCCATGTAAAATGTATATCCCTTAAAAGTCATGATGAGTGACATCAACTACCAAACACCTCCTATTAATGCTCACTTTCTAGGCAAAATCCGTTAGAAATTGCTAAGACATGCGAAGACCAGGATAGGTCAGGAGAAAGAATTAATCCAAAATACTTAACTTCAAACTTGATTTCTATATCAATATCATCAATTATACAACGGTCATAGGAACCAACAGCTTCATTTAACTTTCTTTTACATCGGAAACTGAAATTAACAGTCTGACATTTGGAAGGATTTGGTTTAAGACCATTAGACGAAGACCATTAACCAGCTCCTGATAGAAAGCTGTTCGTCTTACGTAAAAAACAGTTTGAGGCGGTTTTGGGGGGGATAAGGAGATTTAGAGGCAGTGAGTCCAAGATTACACAAAAAACAATACATAAGTTAAAATGAAACTCCAGTCTTCCATGTAACAAGTTACCAAGCATGACTTTTCATTATAATAAAAATGTGATCAAAGATGCATATGGTAAAATATGATGTATTGCTGGGCGGATCAGACGCAAGAAGGAAGAGCAATCCTAATAGTGCAGAGTCTTAATGGATGCAAACACACATAAACACCCTCTCTCAAATAAATCACTTAAGCAGAATATATTTCATGATATTCCAACAAATGAAACTAGAGTATGCTGAAAACTAGTAGACATTTGTAAAGATTTTAGTGTTCATTGAATAGATAGTTTGAAATCCTAGAGGTTAAACTACAATTTTCACGAATTCAGAAATTTGTATAAAGGTATGAAAATACGGTATTTATAGTTGGAAGTTCCGATGTTGCAGACAGGATAATTGTGAGTAGTTGTTTAATACAAGTTGAATAAAGCTGAAAATTTTCGAGATTTTTCATAATTTTACATTTAGAAAATTGTCTGTTCACTGAAATGTTCACATCAACTATCCTTCATTAAGAATAGTCAGCGTTTTCTTGATTTTGAAACTGTTTCAAAATCCTGATTGTGATTTCATAGATTTCTGTGAATCGACTTGGGTAAATGTGCCATCTATAATAGCACAGAACCCAAAACCAGTGGCAATCAATTCTTGCATTGAAGTTGACATAACTGGTCAGATTGTTTCAGATTCCATCGGCAAAAATTTCTACTCAGGTAAGTTTAATCTTATCACTCATCTTTTGTATTTTATGTGAATTATTTGCAGACTTTAAACAAGTAACAATTACAATTTTATACTCATTATTACATACTACAACTGGATACTGAATAACTTTCTGTGAAACTGTTAGAAGTGAAAATTCTTATCATAATTTACCGAAGTAAATTGTCTTAAATCGCTAGTTGTCAGATTTCTGAAGGACTGGAACGAGAAGACGTTTATCTCATAAATTAAAGGCCAGAGTTCCCCAAAATATCCACACTTTGTGTGTGTGAGTAGCTGTGTTTCGGAATCTGGTATTAAATAATCAGAGGTAACTCTATTACCCTATTCAGTCACTTCGTACTTCGAGTAAAGTTAAACGAACTAATGTATTGACAAGTATACATTGACAACATTGACATAATGACAATGACAATGGTTCTCTTAATAAAATCTGGCAGAGTATGGAAGACCGAATTTGCAGTGAAGGATGATTTTTTATCTTACGGTTTCTCGTCATTTGTAGACTCCTTGAGATTAAAGTGGTTATAGAAGAGTGAAAATAACATACTTGAATGTAAGCAAGAATGACATCTGAGGAAATCCAAGGAATTTCGGCATCCAAAATGCGAATTTCACAATTTTTTAGTTTAGAACATAATTAGTTTGTATGAAATGCAAAGCAGAAAGTGAGGATTAGAGAACATGGGGGAAGAGAAATAACAAGAACTGCTAGTTTATCAGGTTACACGGCAGTTGAAGATAATTAAAATTCATAAGATTGAAATGAGTTCAGTGACTTGAAATCAATAGTGTGGATGAAATGGCTTCAGATAGTCATAGTAAATTTGGTGGCCTCTGAATATTTAATACAAAGATTAAATGATCTTCTTCGCAGACTGTAGGAAGAATAACACTTTTGTGAAGTGCAAAAACATCCTTTACTGTGAATACATAAGACTAATAATTTCGAAACTAAACCAACCATGATCTTCCGATTGTGGTGATGTTAAGTTTTGAGTCAGTCCACATCACCTTACATGTTCAGTTGCGTGATAACGCCAACCTATCTTATTTGCGAATAATCAGCAGTTAGATGGAAGTGACAATCAACGTATAATAAGCCGATTTTTGTCTACCGTTTCACGGAACTTCAAAATAAAGTACTGTCAAAGTAGCACACAACAGTTTATATTAATTATAATAATAAGGCTTTATTTCAAACAGTATGTGAACACGTAGTACAGGAATTTCCAGCGTTCCAAAATATTTCTTTTTTTACAGGATTTACATGCAAAGCAATAATGTGAAGTATATCATATGACATAGTGTTGTTACATAAGAAGAGAGAATCGATTCCGAACATTCTTTTTTTCATTTCTCTCGGAAATCGCTGTGTTTTGTTGAAAGCCAATTAAATATGTGGGCGGGTTCATGTAGTGATCATCCGACTTAATTGCATGATTAAAGTAATAAGAAATGCTGAAAAGTTTAGGCATTTTAGTGAATGAAAAGTCTGATAACCAAGCGATTTAAGCAGGCCACCGCCTATTGACTCACAAATCAAGATTTTAGTCAAGTCCCAGGGCAATAATATCATAAGTTGCAACCTGACTGACAAATTATAATAACACCCTCTCTGACACCAGTCGAAACAATATCTTTTGTCTTCATTACGTTTTCCGGTGTCTCGGTTCTAAGGTAATTTAAAAGGTATGTACATTATAACTCATTAACTATTCATGCACACAAAGTGATACCGCGTTTTAGGTTTCTACTTTCATCTTATTTTTGATTTAACCTATCTACAGGATTCGGTGGTCAAATTGATTTCATTCGTGGAGCTTCAATAGCTGAAGATGGTTTAGGAAAGCCAATAATTGCTCTGACATCTACAACGAATAAAGGAGCAAGTAAAATCTCTCCATTTATTAAGCAAGGTGCTGGTGTTGTGACAACTAGAGCTCATGTACACTATGTTGTAACAGAATATGGTATTGCTGATTTATTTGGACGTAACGTGAGACAACGTGCACATGCCCTTATTAAGATAGCACATCCAGATCATAGGTAGTTTCTGATACTTTCATTTGTATCAAAAATGAATGTGATCTTATTGGTGATGAGTTTTAGGTGATTATTATTTTAGGTGAAATTGTGTGAAAATATATGTACTATAAATCTACGAAGTCTTGAAAGTATCTACACTAAGAAATGTCCCAAACCATTATGCAAAGATACATGCAAGCAGTCTTTGAAAATCTACGAGTTCCAGACAGATGAACAAATTTCTGGAGATAAATTTGACCATGCGAAATCCACTAGAGAGATATCAAACTACAAGAACTAAATATACAAAATTTTAAAAGCAGGTGGAGAAAAATTCTCTAGATATAAAAATATTCCAGTATAAAACGACTGTTTGGAATGCATATTAGCGACTTGCTGTGGGCATAAAACCCTTAAGATACATGTTGATGGGATAAAGACAGACACAGTTACCATCCTAAAATATCTCATTCGTGTTATCAAATTTTCAGACAATTGTCTAATCTGCTACGTACTGTTCCATTAAATCTACTGAATTCCCTTGATAGTGGAACTCCATAACCTTCTAAACTTTCCTGTTAAACTGTTTGTAAGGAATTGAACACTTATTTTCTCTAAGAGATGGGTACATTTTTGAATTTGCTTAAAATTATTTTACAGATTTAAAAGAAATCTTCCCTTAACAAGAAAGCTATGGAGATAGGCAGATAATTCACTAATATACCTGATACAGAAAACACTGGCTGCCTCTGATAAAAGCAGGGAACATACAAGAATAAGTGCAACTCTATAATATACTCACTCTTCGTGAACCAAATATATGTAGCATATTTAACCGGTGTGTAAGGATATTTCTGCACATGGTGTAGAAAACTCTACAAGAGATATTCCAAGTGTGCAAAAATGTTGGTGTAACACGTTTGAAACAGCCAGACCTGACATCTGATAATCTTACAGCATTCCTGTAGGCATGTAATACAAAATCAACCACCTCAAGAAATCCAAGCCGTAGTTGATCGCCTTTGTTGTATCTAAGCAAATACACTTAGGCGAAAGAGCGGAAAGTGTGGTTTGCAATAAATTATTTCCTCGCCCTATCTTATTTATCATGTCATTTGATTTTGACAGGTAGACTGGCATAAACAGTTATATTTCCAAGTGGTATTGATGTTCACTATTAAAAGAAAATTTATTTTAGCTCTTCATCAGAAGGTTACTAATTAAGTACACCTAGTTTATTTCACATCTTAAATAACTGTTCTGCCCTCAGTTATTTGTTTCACAGAAGTCTAAAAATGGGTCCAGCTGACGAGTACTAAATAGGACAGAATGCGTATCGTGGATTCCACTGTTAGTCACCATTCATCAAATTACATTAAGTAGATATTAGTATACTCAGTCATTAACTCTGTGCCAGTTACCTTGAGTACATTTGACTATGGCCCAAAAACACTCTATGCTCTTCCTCATTTTAGATTACTTAAAATCTCACTTTGGCAACACTTTGAATTTTTTCATTAGAGCCTAACTTTATTATTTTTAGCAAGAAAAACGTAGTCTATGTTTGCAACTGTTTTCACTCATCTTTCAAAGTTTTATCAGTCAGTTCCATGAATGAATTACCGATATATCTTTGCCACATGTAGTTTCATGAACCAACGACTTTACAATATCAGTATCGTTTCCCGTTTTTAGTCTGAGGGGCTTACGAACATCCACAGACGTTCCATTAAGTTTTCTTTTGTCTATGTTTACGCAGCTTCATCCTACATGAATTTTCAAAACAGCTGCAATATGCTCCAATTTATTTTGTGATCAGATAAACCAGCTGTTGTAGTCATTGTTTGAAGATAACTTGGTGCTTCTCACTTGTTTGCAGTAAGATGCAGATAAATCCAGAACGAATAAAACTTTTTGCCGAACCTTTTACCGTCTTCCACATTGATGTCCCTAATCGACAGATTTATTCTGAGATCAGAAACTTTCTTTACTGCTGCTCTCTTAGGCATGCAAAAGCGCCAGTGTAAAGTGCAATCTGTCTTGTGATATTGTCTGAGAGAATAATCAGTCATCCTTAAAATATATCCCAACCTTAAACAATCGCCAAAAATACACCATGGTATGGCCTATTAATATGATAAATCTGCAAACAGAAATATATTGTGATAAACTTTTAAAAAAGACGTTTAGTTCTGATTTTAATGATACTAACTGAAGTGCAAATGGATGTCCATCTTACTAATGTGGAATTTTGTACAGTAGTTAGCGGCTGCACACTTTAATAATGCCAAACAAAAAACATATTGAAATACGCTGATTGCACATCACAAGAACATAGAGAGTATGACAACCTAATAATGTCTCTTGTAAGAGTAGGATTTTGGCACTATGGTAGAACATTATTCTATGTTCGGAAAGTTTATTTGATATAACATGCATGGGATACAGTACTAATCAATGGATGATGTTATAAAGAGCACAATTTGTTGCTGCTCATAACCATATCAATTTATTCATATGGCGTCATAATTTCCTTCATACACATCTCTGCTCTCCCCCTCGTTGTTTATTGCAATTTTCCACATATCCGGTATAGGTTTCGAATCATTTCCATTGCACATGTTTGGTGTTGATTTTGATGCATAAAGATTCGGTGATTAACTTCTCTCTCAGTCTAACTATTGCACTTCTTAATGAAATACAATTTTACTGAAGGAAATTCGATTTATCAACGAAAACATCATCTGTGCTGAATTGCCTTTTACTTTTCGATACATTTAAGCAATCCTACCCTATTGTGTAATTACATGCAAGTGAATGTATCACAACGGCCAAGTGTTTTCTAGATTATTTAACTTAGCAAGGTTAGTCATTCTATCCCTAGCTAAATTTTTATGTTCAGATAACCTAAATGATCCCGATCTACCAGTTTGACCTACGTAGCTGACCTCGCAGTCATTAGATGATATTTGGTAAATTATATTACTTTTCCTAATTAGATCTATTGAGTCCTTGAGCCTACAGAGTTTGATTCTAAGCGATTTGGTTGGTTTAACGGTCACACAAATTCCAAGCCCTTTAAGAACCCTAAATAGGGTCTGTGACATTCCTTCCTTATGTGGCAGTAATATCGAGGCTTCGAATTCCTTTTAGTTTGTATTATTTTCACCACTTCTCTTATTTTTCCAATGAGTCGTATGTTCCCCTTCGTAGGAGTCTTAAGGTGACATTCAAATCAACCAGCTGCATATAGTCGCACAACAGGGTGGACTGGGGTAAAAGTATTAAGATGCGATATATTTAGGGGACAGAGAAATTAATCATTGAGTCTTTATTCATCAAATCAACATCAAACGCGTGCAATAGAAATGATTCAAAGCCTATACCAGATATTTGGAAAATTGCAATAAACAACGAATTGGACAGGGAAGATATGTAAAAACGAAATTGTGAAACCGCATGAATAAAGTGAGATAATTTTGGACAGCAGTAAATTGTGCTCTAAGCCTCACCCATTTGATAATACTGTGCTGTCATTACATCAAATTTACTTTTCTAAAATGTAATTACTATCTGTTGTTTATGGTAAAATACCACCCTGTTTGTAGGGTCATCCATTCTGAACAGTAGTCATTTGTGATCTTGGTGTTTTTGTGTTGTTTAAACTCGATGGTTAGTTACTAAACTCTCACTCTACTTCTGAACAACGTCTTCAGCATGAAGTGGGTGTAACATCCTCCATACAATTCATACAGATTCACAGCATTCTAAACATTTATTGAATGGACCTCACCAGTATAACCTGTCATCACGTGTCTCCGAGCTAGCAAACTGCCTGTGCACCACTATTACACAACTACTTAAATATAGTTTTGAGTTGTATCAACCCTATAGAGAACATTTTTCTTTTAATATGTCATAGTCATTATTTTTCTTATCGATTCAAATATAATAAGTTCTTTGTTTTCAGTTTTGTTTATGAGTATATGTTTTTTATTACTACCCCTTACATTATTTTATACTATCTCTATCTCTAGAGAATCTTTAGAAAAGGCTGCATTTGAACAACTCAAAGTGATGCCATCGCCCGAATAAGAATTACAGCTTTATTTCATTTCAATTTTATGATGATAACTTTGTTCAGAAACCAGACGAAAATGTCTTGTAAAAAAATATTTTGATTTGTCTTATTTCTTAAAACTTGCAATATACCACAACTGACAAATTAGTAGAACTTTTCTGTCATTTTCACTTATTAGTCATTATTTTGCTTTGAAATGCAAATTAAGATGTGATCCAACAGAAATGATAGAGCTAAACTGCAATATAACCGAAATACTAGAAGGAAGTGTAGCACAAAACACCAACCAGTAATGTGGCAGGAAATGCCATCGTAGTATTTAATTGCTTAATAGAAACCGGACAGCCACTGGTTTTACATACATCTGGCGACCAGGACTTGTATGTATTCTGTTGTGGAAGTGTTTCATCAGTTTGATTTCCATTCGAAGAATTCTTGGGTGGAATTCTCTTCCACTTACTTTTAGTCAGATGGCATTGTAGTCTCTTAAGTATTAACTGTGACTCAGTGCCAGGTATATAAATAACCAATTGGGTTGAATTTTCTACTTGCTGAGTACCTTCATATCAGGGCGTTATCTGTTTCTTGAATATTCATGACATAACAGAGTCACCGTCAACAAAGGTGCCATACATGAGCCGTATCTCCGATATACTGCAAGTGGAGCATAAGGCTTCATGCTCGGACTCCAAAATTCCAGTAGTAGTGGGTATTTTTAACCATATGAAACTGATAGCCTCATGACCAAACTTTCCTCTTTACTGGACTTAATGTTGGTTAGGCGAGGCTTACGAGTATCTCCACTATGGATCGATCCACGGACCACTTGCGTGGTTGGCAAATATTCTATAACTGATTAGTTGACCAAGTATGTCGTAGTTTTGATTATTTCAAGAAGTGCACCGCGGGAGTCAGCAGCAGATGACAAAATGTAATGCTAAGCTCAGTCATGAAACAACATTATAAACATTTATATCATGGGAATTCACTTGGTATATTTACTGTACAATAATGCAGTATTAACAGTTGGATAAAGTCTCAAGTACAATTTATTTGTCATTACCATATCAGAGTGATTTCATACCTTGGTGAGTTATGAATTCTGCTTAAAACATTCAGTTATTAGTGATGTATCACTATGTCATATCGAATAAAATTACCCAATTTGAAATTATTTGCTACTACAGCGTGCGAATTCTGTGCTTACGGTGTTATCCAAGACACATCTGAATGTTTTGAAGAACTTTCTAAAATTGTACTTGTAATTTCTTCGTGAAGCATATAGTTCTGAATATAACTAGAGGCTCTTGAACCCTTTATAATCACTTCTGTCGCCGACTGTCATGAGATTACTATCAACAGTGCTACCTGAATCCGTTATTCAGAAAATTTAAAAAAGGAATAATTATCGACCACGTCCAACTTCCTCACTTAGACATTTTGATATTTTAGTTATATATCATGAAAATATATGAAGTTATTGAAATCGACTTGACTTACATTATCGACAAGTTATTATATACTTCGAAGTTGTCAGGCAGCATGAAGTTAATTTTAAGGTGATAATACCTAAATAAAGCCTGATCACATTGGGAATTTTTTTAAATCTAATTAAAAGCATATATAATGTTAAAGAGTTCTATTATTGGTAACAAATACCATTTTTATTCTTAGATTATTCACTACTGCTTTAGGCCAACTTCTACTTTTTCCTATTTGTCAGTAGTATCAGTCAAAACTCCATTTGTACCTTGAACCATACAACTTTAAGTGTAAAAAGCATGAAATGTACACCACTGCGTTTTGTCTTATAAATACTGACACAGAAGTTTATCATGTTTACGTTTGTAACACTGGAGATCTTTCTTAAATCAGGAAACACTAAGAAAACCATCTGGAATATTTCCTGCTTCATGATTGGACGGTTTAGAAAATAAGTCTATTAAGATACACAACAGTACCACTATACCATGAGTAATAAATTTGTTTCCTTTCTCAAGTAGATAATAAAGAAATTAGTACGACCACCTAGGTTAAGAAATCCTACGGTTTGAAAGCCCCTAATGTAAAATGAGTCCAGACTGTTTTAACTTTATTTCAGAATAATGACGCTTCAGTTAAAGCTTAGCAATGAATTCTGAGAGCATAGTGTTATTATGTGAACAGCAGTAATGCAATAAAATTCATCAGTGTCTTACTCGCACTAATAAATTTACAAATTACAATTGGTGGATTGTATGCGATCAATAAATTGCGGTACAGTTTCTTTTTAAGTCTTTTCAGTGGTAATAAAAAATGGAATCCCAACCCAAATGAATAACAAAACCGATGACTTTGAAATGTTGACAGCACATATTGAATGAAAAATAATTGTACAAGCTCATATATAGTCTGTTTTCACTGGAGTGATATGGAAATTAAAGAAAACGTTTGTAATAAACTGTTGAGTAAAATATGATCAATATTTGATATTAAATGATTTACCATTGTAGAATTATGCAGTAGTTGACCTAATAACCTACCCTTATATTCAGTAATTTTCAAATAAAAACACATAAAATATAAACACAATCTAATAGTTGCATATCTTCATTTGACTTTCTAGAAATGAATAGATATAATTTAATCAGAACTTACTCGTGAATTACATTATGATACAAAAGTGTGGATAATCCCTGTACTCCTAAACATTACAGTAAAATAAGCTATAGGCTATTGAGCCTACAGCTTTGGTAAAAAGTCTGTTTTCACCCAATCCAAAGACAATAATGAGAAGAAGCAATGAAGAAATAAAGGGAAAACACAACTCTCTGACTGCTACTCAAGAGAATCCATTAATTTTAGCATACATTAAGCAGTGAAGGCAGATTAGAATTGTATCAGAAGATGTATTTTGGAACAAGTATAAGATTGGATGGAATAATAGTCAGTTAGGATTTTTATCATTTAGAATATGCATGTTTAGTGAGAACATTAGGTAAAATGAGATGAAATAATTCAATGATATGTGTGCTTTGATATATACTCAAGAAAAGCACAGGTTTCAAGAGTGAGTGTAGTCAGTGGTGTGTGAGACAGTATGAATACGACAGAAAAATAAACGAATAAATGGAATAGACGAGACGTAATTTCATGGGTGCTGATAAATAACGGTAATGATGGTGGTGAAATAATAGTAATGATGGTATGGTGTAAACTTAGAAGTACCATTATTAGGTAATAATGAATTTAGTGAAGTGAAACGAACAGGATTCTGTAAGCATTCTAATAAGTTATAAAAGTCTTGCGTAAACCTAAGTTAGAAATAGAAATATTAAGAGAGGTCACGAGGTCGTGAAAGGTGTGAGGTGGACGTTTGTCAATGAAACAAAGGAAACAGAAAGAAAGAGAAGACCGGGATATGAAGTGAAAGTGTCAATGTTTATGGAGGATTTGTTAACCTTATTGTAGGCCAAGGTGAACATAGGTTAGAGATATAATTCTTCTGTTTGCAATGACCAGTTCTCCTGGTATTGATTGCTACCATTTCAGCTACTGTTAGAAGACGTAGTCGAGCTCTTCTAGATAGATTACCAGAAACGCGGTAGGTAACTGGGAAAGTTTACTCTGGTTTTATTGAGTGCCCAGTGTGTACCAAGTGGGTTGAAACTGCAGTATTCACGCATTTTGTTACCCCTTTACTCAACCACACATTAACGTGGACAATAGGATAAAGCCATCTGAGCACGGCCAGTGTAACTAGCTCTACACGATCAGTTAAATTCATAGATACACGCTGATGAGATCATCTTTTATAATTTGTCCTTCACTCGTTGTGTGAGTACTGGTTTATTTAAGGAACTGAGTACCAGCTCCACTGTTCTATTAAGTCGACATTTGAGAATTTCAGCTGCAGTGTCCTCTTCATAACTTGGGATACAAAGGTTTTTTATCTACGCTATCCATCGTTACCCTATATCTGCTTACGAACGTATACTTTTTTTAAAGTTCTCTAGATATCCATTTTCTTGTGGTGTAAGTTTCAGTGTACACACTTTTTCCTTAATGCATTCCTCTGAACATATGCATTTTATTCTATAACTGAGACACTTAACTAAGTTTCTCTTGTGCTGAAGCACTGTGGAGCTATGAAAGTGGATGTACTGACCTGTCCGAGTCTTCACTCTAAATAGACTTCTTTGTAAATACGAGTCTGTTTTCTTGGTGAACTTTCACCTTTTTTTTCAGTCTCAAGCTTTCAGTTGATTGGTAAATAGACTGATAAGACTAACCTTGATCATCTCATGCAAAAACAATCAATAGATGTATCCACTAAATTTAATCTCTTGCTTAAAATTATTATGCTAAAAACTATGGCAAAACTTCAACTATTTAATAGATTATCAGTTCATGATAGTTTATGTCACGTGTATGACCCACCCAGTAGAATAATGTATAACATCAACTGACAAAATTTAAGAACTGACTTCTTAAATTTGCTTTCAGCTGATCAGTCAGAAAGAATAACCATACTAACGAACCGAAGGGTCCACTACTCAAAGGACAGTGATGGAAAGTTTGAGCAAAATGTTCAATATTTACTGCTTTTCTGTAACAAAATTATTTCCAGGCTAACGGAAACACACAGGCAATAAAATTTTGTGTGCTGAAAGCTTGTAGAACACTGGTTAGAGTTACCTCAAGTTTCCTTCTTTGTTTTATATTACTGAGGTGTAATGGAATAAGTGTTTGGAAAATCTCTCCTGAATGGTCTAATCATTATACATGGGCCATTGGACCGAGTCCCAGTGGCTTAATGGTCTATGAGTTCGCCTTGTAACCAGAAGGTACTGGGTTTGAATCCCGGTGGGAATATACTGCTGACGAGTCCCAAACCAGGAAGGAACGGTTGTCCAGTACTCCAGGGTTTCTAATGGTTCTCTAACCGATATCAGCTCATGATGAGATCATGTAACCAATCAGTCAGGTAAATCCTTACAAACCAATATTTGACAATACTTATACTTATGTGCAT